TCTAAACATTTATATATATGGTCTTTTGACTCAACTGTGGGTGATAATGTCACTGGATAAGGGAAGGCAGATGTGTTGACATGAGCCAGGTGATTAGTACTTCTCCCTGGACACTTTTACCGTATTTGGTAATGTTTTATTTCATTTCCGAAGTACATGTCCAAGTTAGTACATAATTCCCTATAAAAGGCTTCTCACTCATAAACAAAAATATCATCCCTACGTTTTATTTTCTCAGTAAGTTCGTGTCAACACTTCTGATGTAACACAAGCAATTGTTATACCTCACTTTGTAAGTTTACGGGAGGATACCCACCTCCTTAATTGAGGCCACTTGAGGGGGATGATCAATCCACCGCTTCCCACCTTGGCAGAAACACTGAATATGTATCGTAACAAGGATCGACCTAGACCGCGTCCCTATGGTAACCTTATATTATTATTGTACGTGACGTCTCACGTAAAATCGATAGTTGTTAACTCGGGAGACATCTTTCAATAGTCAAGAAGCCACTAATAATAATAATCATACTTACATAATTTAACAGTCAGTGTTGTCTGTCTGATTTCTAAAGTCCATACACTTATTGTAAACGGTCCACTATTTCAATACACAGGTTTCATAATTTTAAGACCCACGGCTGTTTGGTCCATCTTTGAGGTTAATCTTGACCAAGTCAAATTTATCATTTCACCACTTATATTATCAGCGTTCTAGCTCTTCTAGTCTGTTCTTTGTTTCTTGGTGATACCCGGGGGAAACCTGCGATGTTTGGTTGTGTCACACTGGATAATACACCCCCCCCCCCCCGCGCGTGTCCCGGGGCAGGACTAGAACCGGAAAACATAGTATACAGTAGTTAAGGATGCGTAAGTTACCGCTGCAAAGCATTTAAGACATCTGGCCAATACAACTCTGCATAAGTCACGAGTTTTGACTGTCACTTTGATTACATGTTCAATCTTTTCGACTAGTCTATGGGCGTTTATTGTAAGGCGTTTTAAGATGCACGGAATAGGTAAGACGTTAGCTTTCCCGGAATAGCATTAATAAATACGACCGTACCGGGTCTTGGGAATAACTGTTGTACAACACAATCTTCAGAAAACAATAAAATTAGGAGGACTGTACGTACAGGACACCGTGATAGCTTTATCCTTCAATAGCAGATAATACTGTAAGAATCAAGGATTTGTGACGTATTGGTGTAATATCTTTCCTACATTGCTTACATGGCTTGATCCATTTTGTCTACAGGAAAGGTGCTCCACAGCCTCCAATATGTATGCTCTCTCGTCTCCGGCTACATTGTGTTGTTTACAGGTGTTCTCATATATAGACACGAAATTCGACGAATTTCAGGTTCGTTTAAGTCTTAATTTTTGGAATTACAGAACTGTAATCAACTTGTTCACCCTTATTTAAAGTGTCTTATGAGTAATGAAATCGGACCGCGCCCACTAAAAAAGGGCGGAGCCAAAACAGGTTTCAACTCGGTGCAATTCTATTCAATTCTTTCACGCCATACCCTTTGTTTTAGGTCCTATCCAATATACTACCGTACTGTACATAGAATTATTTTTATTATGATATCACATTTTTGTATTGCCTTACATGCACCCAACTCTTCAATATTCATCAAAATATTCTCCAAAAACGGCCATGATCCGTGTGTTTACACAGTGTTTCAGTGGGAGAAACTCGCTGACTGGTTGTTAGCTATTCGGGCGCCTCTGCCAGCTGCAAACGCTAACGCCTGATCGAAGTGTTTGCTTTTCCCTCTGAAAGTGTCATAGCACAGAAGTCAGCAGCATATAATTAGTTTGGGGAACTGTTATATCACAGCCTTGGAGCTGTTTAGTTTGTTGGATCAAGTTGTCAAACCCACAATGGTCCTTTCTCCATTTATTTAGAAAAATATATATTATGCACAGTCAATAAGGATCATCGTAATTACACTGTGAACTGTGAGTGTAGGTTAAGGGCGGAGCTTAACTTAAGATAAGCTTTTAGGTCAAACGTCCTAAACTCGTGAGGGTTGAGTATCAACTGAGAGAGACGGCAACTAATTAGCTAAGCTCAGGTCTAGAGACACGACTTGAGAGTGGAATCTTCTGATCACATGTGTGGCACATGATCCTCACAGTTCATGGAAAATTACCGTGGGTGATGGAACAATATATCAACAATGTAATAACCCATATTTATATGAGGGCTAATTGTCAATAAGACAGGGGCTATTACAAGCAGCGTCTGCGCAGACAGAATAGCTAACGCGTTAGCTATTCCGTGCATCTGAAACGCCTTACAGTAAACGCCTTATATACAATGTACCGGAACTAGAACAGACTTATGTAAGAGCATTGCATATTTTTTTAGCAACAATGGAAACTAGCTGCTCTTGAGAAATGTTCACAACAATTATTGTCTTAAATTTCAGAGTGATCTGTGAATGATTAATAACTGTACAACGAGCAAGTAAAATAAAAATTTCTAATTACATAAGACATATGAGGGCGGAGGTCGAGTGGATGCAGAGCTCCCCTCCTGCTCCAGGGGTTTGTGGTTCGATCCCCAGGCACTCACAGTTCACCCAGTTTATAATGTGGGAGAGGTGAATATCCTAACGGGCAGTCATGCCTACAGGACCCACTTTCTCCTTTTCATGTAAAACATCTTTGTTCCAGCTAACAGAAACAAGGTGATTATTTAAGTCATAGGCATCTGTGTTCCCACTAAGCATTAAACATACAGTAAATGAATGGAAATGAAGCAGTACAGCAAAACAACACAAAACGGAGTGAGTAAATTAACATGATCTTCTAAAATTTTAAATGAATAAGAAGTCCAACATTAGAATAAATGATACTAAGAATAATCCTCCCTGCAGAATAAGTACAATAACACCCCTACTATTTATGAATGCATAATAAAATAAATAACACTTCCCTTATCTGACACTGCAGGAATATCAAGTGAGCTAGGAGCTACGGTGCTTGAGCTGCCGTATAAGCGGGAGGCAGCGTCCATGTTTGTGCTGCTGCCTGACTCTGCCGACGACAACACCACAATACCCTTGGACACCATGCTGACCCGCCTCACCCCAGACTCTCTCAGAGCCGCCCTCGCCACACTGGAAAGACAAAAAATCCATATAAACATCCCCAAGTTTAAGATGGAAAAAAGAATCAAAGAAGAACTTAAAGAGGTAATTGGAACAATATGGTCAATATGAACACTTCACAGTATGTATCTGTAATATGTGGAGTTTAACAAATTACTGTCCAGATCTTCCCTGCCACATTCACGTTCAGGGTGATGCCAGGAAAATTATATACACCAACATTTGCTCTCTTCTTCAGATCATTCTTTAATTTTAGTTTTTTCAGTGTTTGTTCATACTCCACCTGACTACCCGGCTCTGGGCAAATTCCCAACCAAGGAATAAGCTTGCCTTTCTATGTTGTACCAAGTGAGGGATGATAATACTTTATTAGCAGATTAATGAAGATTCTGTTCAAGGAATAAAAAGGGTCAACTTGTAGCATGTGAACTGTTTATGTGGGATAATATATACACTGTACTAGCATGCTGCCCACCTCAAGAGAGCTCTGACATCAGAAAATATTATTTTGTTCTTAATTATAATATCTAGGAGTATGGTACTACTTCACACAATGGCTTATAGGGTAATTGCGACGGATTTTAGGTCACAGGTGTATAAGGTAGTAACTTGAACTCCAGGCTGAATTCAAGTTATTTCAACAGAGGCATAACATATTTACCAAATACCTAATCTCGCAGCAAAATATTCTTTGCCTTCTGTTCATTTTCACATGCCAACAAATTTCCTTACATCAACAATTACTATTAAATAATAACAATAATAATAATAATAATAATAATAATAATAATAATAATAATAATAATAATAATAATAATAATAATAAACTGTTTATTAATAGAGTTGCAGCCGGTGCCTGAAAATTTACAGATTTACATTTGATTTAGACATAATTATATAATATGCATTGAATATATTTACAGGGCTGTACAGTACATAAATCAGGAGTTGTTTATTATTTTAGCAATAGATGGGATGGTGCTATTCTTATATCTATCAGTGCGGGCTCTTATGGGCTGAATTTTGTTGTAGTGGCGGACTGCCCGAGGTGGGTGGGGGGCTGCCGGTGGCAGGAGGTGGCGATGACGAGGGTGGTGCATTAGTTGGCTGCCAAACCTTTGTAATTTTTCATCGAGATACCTCAACTATTAGTTTTATTTAGCATCATTCATGAGTAAAATTTCTCCAAAAAGAAGCGTAAAAAAATATATGAAACTTTATATACAACAACACAATGAAGTTCACCTTTTTAGTTACTTAACTGAAGACACACTACTTTATACTTCTATGTTGTTACAACTCTTCCAATCTTCCCAACAGGCTCTCCAGCGTCTAGGGATCCGACACATCTTCAGTAACTCTGCTGACATGTCCATCTTTGATCCTTCACGTCAACTTAGAGTGAGAGAGACCATCCATAAGGCCGCAATAGAGGTGAACGAGGAGGGTTCAGAGGCTGCGGCTGCAACACCTGTATTGTTTGATCTTAAGATCGGTGGTAGGCCATTCATATGTAATCGCCCCTTCCTATTTTTCATCCACGATAACCATACCAATAACATTCTCTTTATGGGCGTCTACAGGCAGCCTTGAACCCACACCAAACCATAATGTACACCCTTATAGAACACCAATATAACTTAGGCACCTACAAAGAGACCTCCGTAATATCTTGACTATCACTGCCCACTATTATGTTTACGTGACCATAATAATGTAAAATATATCCCCTATAATGTGGTCGTGATGTGATCAACTGTGTATGTGAGTTACAAGTGTTCCCCAAGTACTGACTGACAGTGAAGGCTGCCTCAGTAACATTCTAACAATAATGTTTCGAAATTATGAAATATATAAACAAACTGTAAAATAATATTCACTTTCGTTTCTGAATAAAATATACATTATTCCCCTGTATTTCAGTACTTCCTTCCAGTTGTCTTAAAAATATTAACTTTTTGTTAATGTAATTCTTCCTGCATAACACACATGACATGATTATAATCTTGCTAATTATATATTATTTTGGGTCTAATAAGTTGAGTCAGTAACAGATCAATACACTGTTGAAGCATTACACATGGAGGGTTCTCCTCCCTTTAATTGTCTTCCCATTATCTCTAAATCACACTTCCAAGACGATACTACCACCCCTCCAAGACGATACTACCACCGCTCCAAGACGATACTACCACCCCTCCAAGACGATACTACCACCCCTCCAAGACGATACTACCACCCCTCCAAGACAATACCACGACCCCTCCAAAACAATACTACCACCCCTCGAAAACAATACTACCACCTCTTCAAGACAATACTACCACCCCTCCAAAACAATACTACCACCCCTCCAAAACAATATTACCACCCCTCCAAAACAATACTATCACCCCTCCAAGACAATACTACCACTCCTCCACGCCAACATTACCTGCCTACTCGTCAATAATTACCCAACCGTCACCGTCATCACAACACTACTGTACATGAGCGGCCGTTAGGTTTTACAATGCTGAGCTAAAACATTACTAGAAGGGACAACACATAGTTATATATTTGGGTATAAATTTCAGTTAATTTCACTAATGCTACGATTAAATACTTCAGAGTGTCAGTTCAAGGTTTATTCTCTCAAAATTACACATTTTGGCAAAAGTAAGCATCTTCCAACTGTATTAAGCGGAACCAACCAACTTCCTCTTCCGTCTTGTGAGGAAGATGATTAACTGGTTTTATCACTGGGATCTCAAGTCAAAGATGGAATCCATGCAAAAGAATCATCTAAAGCCTTACAGAAGTCAACCTTCTGCAGACAAGATCTTGGTCTCTATTCTCTACAATGCCAGAGGGATTCTGTTGATTGACCACCTTGCACATAAAACAATGATCACTAGTGCAGCCCTAATGCGATAACTGAACAACATTATCCATCTGGGAGAAACAAGGAAGACCAAAGTGTGGTCCTGCTTCACGACAAGGTGCCAGTCCACAAATCAACATAATCCATCACCCTCCACAATATAATCCTCCATCCATCTACAACTTACTCCAAAATCCCTTCATAGCTTACTCCACAGTCCTTCCACAAAAACATATTTCACCATCCCTCCATAAAAAACATACTCCACCATTCATCCACAACAATATGCTCCACCATCCATCCACAATAACATACTTCACCATCCATCCACAACAATATACTCAACCATCCCTCCTCATCATACACCACTATCCCTCCACAACATACTCCACCATCCTTCCATAATATCATATCCCACCTTCGACATTTCCAAAGCATTTGTTAGGGCCTAGCACAAGTCTTTGCTTTCTAAACTTCCCTCTTATGGTTTCTCTCCCCCGCTTAGTTCTCTAATTTCTAGCTTCCTTGAGAACCTAACCATGGCAGTTGTTGTTGAGGGATTGATCTCTCGCTCTTTCTCTACCAATCACATTTCAGGACGCAATCACTCTGCCAAATTCTGAAAGATATGCTAGGCCTTACCATTTACTCTAATATGTCATGGGTCACATGTCCTCAACATTGCTAAAGCTGCCTCCCGAAAGCTGGGAATGCTGTACAGATGCCGCACATACTTTACTCTTGAGCAGTTGCTTCAAGTTTATTAGGGATTCATTCGTCCTAACTTAGAGTACTGCTCTCATATTTGGGGAGGGCTCTTCTTTTCATTAACTGTTAGATAAAGTGAAATCAAAGGCATTTCGTCTTATTAACTCTCCTCCTTTAGTCGATAATCTTTCTTCACTTTTTCTTCGACGCAATGATACCTCTCTCTCTCTCTCTCTCTCTCTCTCTCTCTTACAGGTACTTTAGCCGGCACTGTTCGGTGGATTTGACATCCTGCGTACCGCTGGCAAGGCCGTGGACTCGTAACCCTCATCTTACCCGCGGTGCCCACCGTTTCTGTGTAGGTGTCGGTCACACTAGAATAACATACAGCCAAACTGTGGAATGCTCTGCCTTCTTCTGTGTTTCCATGCTCATACAATGTCTCGCTTCAAAAGCTGGTTTTCCGGCATCTTCGTGGTGTAGATTAATACAGACTTTCTCTTCTATTTTTAATTTATTTTTACTCATATCCCCTCCCACCACCCTCCATGCCCGATTGTAGGTCGATGACCTGTGCCAGAGTGGGCTATTCCAGGTAAAAAAAAAACACTTTCCACAACAACATACTCCACCAGCCCTCCACAACAACATACTCCACCAGCCCTCCACAACAACATACTCCACCACCTTTACATAACCCACAATCAACTCCAATCCTAAGAAGGGTGGGAAGGGCAGCCATCAGGGGCTTCCACACAAACAAGGAAAAGAATCGTAATATCCGTGTTTACTGACGTCACGTTGCTGCTTTTCCAAGAACCTCCTGGCATGTTCATCAGAACTGGTTTGTGATGATGTAAGTAACTGGGCCGGAGGTGAGAGAATATAAGACCCAAGTTCAGGTGTGTGCTGGTCACAACTCACCTGGTTGACGCTACGACAACAAGACACCTTCAGTCTTACCTGTGTACTGTAGGTCAATACTAAACAGTAGGTAGGTAATGCTGCTGTTGTTTTACTACATTATCACTACTAATAGCGCCTGCTATTGTTAACAGTGTTGCTACACTGCAACACAAGTGACGTCACTATGTTTACAACACCATATTGTGGGTCAATTCGTCATTCAGTCATTCACCCGAAGCCACCTTCAATAATTTGCACCAAGAAAAGGATGACCCATTATTTAACAGATAACAGACAGATTACTTAACGAGTAATTACGAGAGAAGAAATCTGAGATTATTAAACTTCCAGGAAGAATAGCCAGTGTACGGCGTAACAGTAGTTTACCGCTTATTTGGCGCCAACTCCAACACACGGAGGTATGGTGGGCAGGTGGGGGAGGTGGCGCACAGCCCTTGATTTTTTATTTAGCTTATGCCCTGGCTGATAGCAGGATGAGAGAGCGGTGGACCCTGGCGGCTGAGTGTGAAGTAGTATTGGCTGAAGCGAGGACTGGAGAGGAGTTGTAGGGAGAGTAGATACAGTAGCGACAGCAGGCAAGGTGGCGATGAAGAGCGACGGAGGAAATTGGGGAGTGACAGAGTCGCTGGATGGCGACGAAAGGGACAGTGTCGATTGCAGGTAACGGTTAGAGGAACGGCGACAGAAGGGACAGGAAAATCGGGAGTAGTGAACTGCGTGGACGGATCAGTAAAGAGAACAAAATTGAAGATTTGAATTTGAAGGACTCTTGGCATACCATGTATACATATGTTCTTGTAATTATTTTGTTGAACATTTTATTGTTAATTTAAAGAAGTTACAACCGTAAAGGTTGCTCCTTTTAATGACCTATCAGTAAATAAAGAAACCCTACACATAATCATATCTGACAAAACAAAATACTTCAAATAACGACAACATATAATTACACACTCCATAATCTTCAAATATTTTAATTCAGGCAAAACTCTGTGATTCCTAATATAATATTCCGAGGCAGTGAGCATATAAGGGGGAACAAGATGTCAGACTGCAGCATGTTGTTCACTAAGTATGTTTTACGGAATATATCCCTTCATTGTGTCGAGGAGTTCTGCTACCTGGGTGACAATCAGTGCTGGAGGTGATGTTGAAGTTAGTTCAGACACACGAGGCAGGTGTGGCTGGAAGAGGTTGAAGAAATTGTTGCCTTAACTGACGGCAAGAGGCCTTCCCCTGTTTCAAAGTTTTGTTCTACTTTTTAAGTCTAAAGACGAAATGTTCGAGTGTGTGGCCATATGTCTGTCCACACTCTTTACATTTAGTGATGTTCACATCTGCCTGTGGGAGACGCTGCACAAGATCAAGCAGCTTGGTGAACTACCATCAGGTACTCACGGCTAATCCACGAACGTGTTAAAATAAGCGTAAAAAAGAACAATGACGAAGTGTTACGTATATATCCAATAAAAACAAAACACTTGCGTTAAAACAGACCGTCTTGTTTTTCATCTTAAATTTTCGTTTCTCCTTTATCATTATCATGCGATGAGTTCTTAAATTACTTTAAATATTGTGATACAAATATTATGGGAACAGGTTTTTGGTTGAGCATTCGCATAGCAAGAAAATTATCACAGGTTCGATTCCCAAGACGAGTGGAAAACTGAGATCCTTCTGTGTACACTTGGAGTTACACTCTGCACTAAAGTGAGTGCACACTACTAGGTACACCAGCTGATGGTAAAACAACCAATCCGTGGATTAGCGGCTCAATAGCCGCTGAATGGTGATCAAACAACACTCGGTGGATTAGTATTCTGTTAAGAGTGAGGATAACCCACTAACTGTTGAATGGTAACAATTAAAATATCTGCTCCGATTCATCCATCCGATATCATAAGCCATGTAATGACTTGCAAGAATGAAAAGTTTCTTACAGATATCATTATTAGCAGTAGTCAAATTGGTTGTAGTAATGGTTATATTAACAGTAGAAGTAGTCGTAGCATTACATTTTTTTTATAAACAATACATAATGAGTGTTCAGATAATAACAGCTTAACTCTTCTTCTCGTCCACAGAATGTTAAACTTTGTGTCGGCAGTGTTGTTATTGACGCTAGTGGGTGTGGTCAGCCCTCAGTGTATCACCACCAACGATACTCAGTCCCCACCACTCCACCCTGACCTGGGCCACATCCTCCCCTTCAGCTTGGGTTTGTTCAAGGAGCTCTACGTCCCCGGCAGCGCCACGGGCAACTTCTTCTTCTCCCCCTTCAGCATCTGGAACGCCCTCGTCTTGGCCTACTTCGGGTCGGCTGGCAGAACCCGGGAGCAACTGCAACGGGTTCTCAACCTTAAGAACCCAGCTGATACCCTGGCCACTTACAAGGCCGTGGACCGTCTGTGAGTACACACCTGTCTTACTTACCCACACCTGTACCTTAGCGACCAACACCTGTACCTTAGTGAACCACACCTGTATCTTAGTGACCCACACCTGCACCTTACTGACCCATACCTGTACCTTAATGACCAACACCTGTACCTTAGTGACCCACACCTGCACCTTAATGACCAACACCTGTACCTTAGTGACCTACACCTGTACCTTAATGACGGCACGGGGTGGAGGAGACTGCAGTGGGAGCGGGTAAACAAAGTGAAAGATTACAGGGAAATAGTGTTAGGATGATGACAAAACTCAATTAGACAGGGCGTTTAAACCTAAATGCGGCAAAGGGAGGACTCAGAACATGACTAACTTAAATGTCTACTACGCGAACAGTAGAGGTATGAGAAACAAAATGGATGATATTAGGGCCTTGGTATGTACCGGAAAAATCGATATAGCATTCACTGAAACATGGATCAACCTAGACTCACGTGAGTTACCGGTCGAATACCAAATTGCGGATTACAAATTGTTCGATACTGATAGGCCGTCCAGGAAAGGAGGCGGAGTAGCCATCTATGTCAGGGATAATCTGAAGTGCGAAATAAATAAGGAAATAAAAACTGAGCCGAATACAGAAACAATTTGGATAGAATTAATCGACGGTAGGGAAAAATTAATCATAGGAGTAATATATAGACCTCCCAATCTTGATAGAATTAATGAGCGACTTATCTAGGATGAAATGCGCAGGGCTTCCATACACAACAAAGCCTGTATAGTAGGGGATTTTAACCTTGGCCAAATAGATTGGACTGACCTTACCGGTAATTCAGTATTAGAGGATTTCCTCGAAACGATCCAGGGCTGTTTCCTAAGTCAACATATAACCGAACCCACCCGGGGTAATAATATACTCGATTTAGTTCTGTCGAACAGAGAAAACCTCATTAGCAATGTCGAGGTAGGGAACGAACTTGCAAACAGCGATCACAAAGAAATTAGATTCCAGTTAGATTTTCTGGTCAGACGTAAAGGGAATTCCATTAAAGTCCCAGATTTCAGAAGGGCAAACTTTGATAGTTTAAAGAGGCAGCTGGGAGAGGGAGTGTCACGCATGGATGTGAACCTGACAGATGACACCGACCTGATAACGAGATCTGAGACTGCCGAGTTCCACGACAATTAAAATAACGAGTTACTTAATGCACAAACGCAGAACATACCATACAAAAACTCAGATCAGACAACAATGACCCTAAATGGATAAATAATTATTTAAAGAACATTATTGGCCAAAGGAAGGCTATAGGTAGAAGCATAAATCGTGGCGAATTTTACCTCCGGGAGTATTATAAGGTATTGGCCGGTAGGGTTAAAACCGAGATAAGAAAAGCAAAAATAGACAAACTGAAACCTAATAAGTCACCTGGTCCTGATGAGATATTTGCCAGAGTATTAAAGGAATGTAAAGATGAGCTTAGTATGCCCTTAGCAAAGTCGTTTAACATGTCATTAAAACCAGGTGTCGTACCAGAATCCTGGAGGATAGCGAATGTAATACCGATTTTCAAGAAGGGGGATAGATCACTATCCTCTAACTATCGCCCAATCAGTCTTACATCAATAGTAGGTGAATTACTAGAATCAATTATTTCAAACTCTATTCGAAACCACCTGGAGAAGCACAAGTTGATCAATGATTCCCAACATGGCTTCACAAGCGGGCGTTCATGTCTAATTAATCTATTAACATTCTTCTCATCAGTTTTCGAATTGGTGGACGAGGGACACAATTATGATGTGGTATATCTCGACTTTAGCAAAGCCTTCGACAGAGTCCCCCACGAAAGACTATTTAGAAAGGTAGAAGCGCATGGCATCAAAGGTAATATCCTTAAATGGATTAGGGCGTGGTTACAGGACAGGAAACGCATAAACGGCACTAAATCGCATTGGAGCAACGTTACTAGTGGAGTTCCCCAAGGATCAGTACTTGGACCATTATTATTTATTATATACGTAAGCGACAGAGATATCGACATAGACAGCAACATAAGTAAATTTGCTGATGACACTAAAATAGGACGTGTAATTAAATCTGATGAGGACTCTGCAAAACTACAGGAAGATCTAAACAAATTTTTCGAATGATCGGAAAAATGGCAGATGAAATTCAATGTGGACAAATCTAAAAAGTACTCAGTATAGGAGATGTAAACAGGGAAACCAGTTACCAGATGAACAACGATGCCATTGTGGAATCCGACTGCGAGAGATTTAGGAGTAATGATAAGTAGGAATCTTAAGCCAAGTAAACAATGTGTTTTTGCTTGTAACAAGGCTAATAAAGTACTTGGGTTCATACAAAGGAGTGTTAGTTTCAGGACTCGCGAGGTCATCTTAAAATTATATCTAGAGCTTGTGAGACCTCACCTGTATTACTCAGTTTAGTTCTGTTCACTGTATTACAAAATGGA